TATATATATATATACTAACTCCAGAATAAATTTATTTTTTAAATGTAAAGGCACATTGATATAATATATAAATGCTTGAACCTTTTTTTTTTCTTTATAGTCTTTACATCGAACACAAGCACCATGTTTTATCTGGTATAAATGCATATTTAATGAACTGTCGCATTTACTGAACTGTAAGGACACTTATTTATAATATATTATTAAAAGATCTGTGAGTTAGTATCATAATACTATGAAACATAAAGCATATTTAAATGCAATGTAAATATACGAAAAAAGTTATGCATTTGTTTGTTTGTTCGTTTCTTTTTTTCTTTTTTTTTTTTTTTTTTTCTTTTCTTTTTTAAATAATATATAAATGCAAACTTCATTTCAGAGTCATATGATCTATGAATACTTATTTACTATAAAAAAATATCTTTTTCTTTTGTCAAATACTTTATCACACGCATTTCTTTACTTATTTGGAAATTATAAATTTACGTGATCTATTTATAAAAAAAAAAAAAATTAAAAAAAAATTAAAAAAAAATAAAAAAAAATAAAAAAAAATAAAAAAAAATAAAAAAAAAATAATAAAATAAAAAAATAAAAAAAGAAGAAAAACTAAACAAGATGAAAAACAAATAAATAGACTGAAAAGGAAATCATATTAATTTGTTGCCATTATTTCATCAAGTATATAATAGGAATGTGTTGTATGTAAAAATAAAAGGATATAACAAATATATAATTATTAATTTATAGCTGTGTCGTTATTACCGTTTTTCTAGTTATGACTGTTTGTTTGCCTGGTGATTGCTCTGTTGTTGGAGCTTGAGATGGATCTGCTACTAACCATGGACTAATATCAGATACAGCTGGGCTATCATCCTTTATAATAGATAAAATAAAAAATCATATGATATCATTTACGTACAAGATCAAAGCATATTTTTTTCTCTCATTGACAATGTATCACAAAAATTTAAACATACATATAATTAATATATAAAATGAAGCAAACGCACAGCTAGCATTATAGGTCTTAAATATAATTTGCAAGCACCAGAGGGATGATAAAACTAACCTTGTGTGTAATTGTTGTTCTTATAGTTTGAATCTCTTCAGTTTTAACAACTCTTGCTTGAGCTGTTTTATCATTAGTATCTGGCTCATTTTTCTTTTCCACTGTTGGTTGTAATTCTTTAAATGGATTTAGTAAACCCAAAAATGGATTAGAATCTATAAAAGGATTTGTATTCGTTTTCTTTTCATCTTCTGTATTGACTGTGTCAGTAATATCAGAACCATCATTAGTAGCTTCGTTTTTACTATCGGTAGTAAATGGATTGAATGGATTTTGAGATTGATTTGATTTTGGATTGAATGGTGTAGTTGTTTGTTCTATTTGGCCCCAATTGTCCAAGGAGAAATGTGTTACGGTTACAGTGGAATCTGATGAAGGGCTTACTTCAGCTCCACTAACGGAAAGTGTTAATTTATCTCCGCCCTATAGTCAAGGAAACGCAAAAGAAAGCAAACGACTTTATAGCTGAAAGCTGATTATGCAAAACAATATACATAGGACATGAATTCAAAGGACTAGACTTTATCGTTTTCTTGTGTAACCTCTTCTACATATATATGTACTTTACAAATATATGCATTTGCAAACTTAATTTTTGATATAAATAGACAAATTCACAATACAATTAAATACATAATAAGCAAAATAAATCCTATAGCAAAATAATAATAACAAGTTTTTCTAATTGTGACAATTCAATTGAACTTACCACTGAAACAATAGTTGCCGCATCAGTATGCTGACTGTTTTTTACTGTAACTGCAGATTGGTCCACAGACGTAATAGAAATTAAATTGGAATTTTTACCCTGTTCAAGGGATTTTGCTTTCAATATATTACATTTAAGTGATTCTGGTGGTATTGGAGTACGAGGTGGTAAAGATGAAGTACCACCGACTTGATTATTAGGTACTAATTGCACTTGATTAGCTGCATTGTCGACAGGTAATGTAGATTTTACAGGCTCAGATTCTTTTTCGGTATTAACAACTGCTGTTTGATTTCTTGATTCAAGAGGTTGTTGATCTTTAGCAAGAGATTTTAACAAAGAATCTACCAAAGGTGATGATGCCCCTTGTACACTGGAATCTGACGATTTTGTACTACTGTGACTTGGCTGACGTTGCAGAGGTTCTTCTTCGGCTAAAAATTATAATTTATAATTTTTACTTACTCTGAAGTCTAATAAACAAAAAAAAAATAAAAAAAATAAAAAATAAATTTTAGAAAAATATATTTATTACTGACTAGTAAGTGGTTGCTGTAACTGATCTACTTGTTGGCGTTGACGTTCTCGTAAAACATGACTTTGTCGACGCGCGTATCTTTGACTCGGTCGGCGTTCAAACTGAACAGTACGGCGAGCTCGATTTAATTGAGTAGTTTGGAATTCAGTTTTTCCACTATAACGAAAACGTGATCCCATGCGGAAAAAATTTTGACGACCACTGGTACCCTTGACAGGAGCACGTAAACGAAAAAAGGCATGATGTTCTACCGCACATTTCCACAAATGCTTACATGCCTTCTCATTGACTAGTCTAAAAACAAATGTATGCTCTTGTTCTCCTCTACCTTCGTCATCTTCCTCTACCACTACCAACGTTAACTTTTTCTTTTTAAAATCCAAACGACCAATCTTTGGCCAAAAAAATAAACCAATTTTCTGCATCCCCTCAAAAACAAGTATTCCAGTTGGCGTTAAACCCAATGAATATTCACATGCATCCTTGCCAAGAACCGTATGCATATCAACTCCATACATATCTAACCATTTCGCTTTACTGAGATAAGCCGATTCGGCTTGCGCTGGACTGAGACCTGAACATTTGGCATATTCCTCAAGTATCTCTAATTCCATTTGTTCTGTTTGTCCTGGGACAAATCTGAATTCAGATACCGTTGCAGCACTATGCATAGTTGGATCATAGTCGCCTAATTCAGCTAAAATAAATCCGACTATCGTATATTACACAATTACATTTCTTATTATCAAATATCATAAATCTTTTTAATAATACCCACATTGAAGAGCCAAGGCAGCTAACTGAACAGCCACTTGATGTGGACAATGAAGTTTACCTTCTAATACATCCTGTTTTAATTGTAAAAAAAATTGATACCGAGTTAATTCTTCGCGCAATGTGTTTGGTTCTGAAGAATAAAACTTTACTTTGAGTCTGAGTGTATATGGCGGTCCGACTATATAAAAAGGAGAGAGAGAGAGAGAGAGAAAAAAAACAAAAATAAATTAACTATAATAAAATCCTATGTTAGAACAACAATATATTTCTTATTTATTATTAAAAATTTCTTACTTATTATTTAAAATTTTTAAACGTATAATGTAAATAACATATAATACACATTTAACTATTGACAATTAAAATAACAGTGCTTACTTTTTACTTGTTTTTTTATCGGTTTTGTTGGATCTAACCAATGTTGAACATTATTACTATCCGTATATTGTAATCCGAAGTAATCTTTCTCTATCAAATCTAAACTATAAAATACCTGTTCATATAAATCACTGGCCAAAGCTTTTTTCTGCAAAAAATAAATAAATAAATAAATAAATATATATATATATATATATATATATATGTACATTCATACACACACACACACACACACATATACACAATTGATTATTTAGATATGTAAAATTTATATAAATATATATATATATAAATGAAAACATACCGATAATTCTATTGGCAAGTCAGTTCCATCTAATAAAACAACTCTACATTGCACAACATTTTTATTGCTAAGTAACCTCTGATTTTTAATCTGGGACGAGGTGTTTTGCCCAGTTACACTACGTGCTCGTCGTCGCGAAAGAAATCTCAACATTTTCTTTCTCGTTTGGAATTAAATTATACTCTCAAAAGAATAATATAAATATTTTGTATAGATAGTCTTACAAAATGCATTATAAATTGTAATGTGTTACGATACGAATTCCGCCCAAGCTACGCTTGGGGGGAGTTAATTTCAGACACTGAAAACTTAAATGGCTGCTTTGTAGATAAGTCAGTTTGGCTTATAACGGAACTGCTGGTATATACTTAATAAAAGTATAAGCAAATAAAATACCACGGAGTAATAATATAGTAGTGGTAACACAGATACTTTCGGTATATATAAGAAAGAGGACCACGTTTTTCATGAAACGTAAAAAATATTTCCAAAAAATATATTAATACTATTACAATATGGTATGTGTAAATATGTGTATATATGTATACAGATATGTGTTAATATAAAAAAGCTGAAACAAGTTTTTAAAAATTACAACAGAGTGATTTAACCGATCGAGTTTACGTTCGTCGTTCGAATACAAAACTACTACCATGTAGATAGGTGACGTTATACTGATCCCGCAAATAAGAAAAGTGTCATGGCGAATGTGATTTGATTGGTCGATAATTTGGCGCCAATGGACCACGTGTATACGAAAGATATGAATACATAATAACAATTCAATTTTTAATTTAACGAACAAAAAACGTTTGAAAATGACTAATATTGATTATTTCAATGAATAAATAATACAATGTAAGTAATCCTTAATCCTAAAGCTCGATATATTTTTGGAAGACGTATAATATTAAATAATTCAAGAAATAATAGTACTTGAATAAAATATAATGATGTTGATGCCTCAAAGTTTCGTAATCGATTGATTTATTAGAGCTATCGAGTTTGTTATTGTTTACATTTTTAAAATTTCATATTTCGAGTTTACCACAAATATAACATATGTATAAACGAATTTATCATTGAACTCGAATTTTAAGGTTATGGGTCAACGGCCAATGTACATTATATACATATGTTCGTACATAAAGTACACGACATATATATATGTACATATATATAAGTTGAACGTGCATGCTGTTTGTCGTTCATCGAGTCATTGTATCCGGCATAGGCTAATCGTTATTACATATGCACGCTACATTAAGGCAGGTCGCTGATGCATATCGAGGAAGGGCTCTACAGAAAAAAAAGAGAGAGAGAAAAGAGAGAGAGAGAGAGAGAGACAGAGAAATTAGATGGATATATATATACATATATATAAGGAGAGAGAGAGAGAGAGATATGTAATGAAATTCATCTTTTCGTTCTCTTTCTCTCTCTCTTTTTTTCTCTTTTTACATAAAGAAGTATTAAAAATGAATTCTTTTTGTAAAATTGGAATTTTTACGATTATCGCTCTGAGGCATATCTGAGAATCAGCATTTTCTAATCTCTTTCGTTTCTTCCTCTCTCTGTCTCTCTCTCTCTCTCTCTCTTTCTCTCTTTTTTTCTCCCATTCTTTTTTTCTTATTTTTTTTTTTATCGTTCACTGCTCGTTCACAATTCACGTGCATCTTGCTAACTTCCGTTCGTACATTTGAATGCAGTCTAAATCGATTACCGTGGCCATTGTCGTTGGAATTCATTGTCGTACGAAACGAATCAAAAGCGTAGGACAATAACGTAAACGTTTACGCGGACTAATTAGTTTTACTTTTTAAAAAAGAGCAAACCTTAGGTAAACTATATATATATATATATATATATATATATATATATATATGTATATGTGTATGTACATTCATAGAAAAAAATTTCTTATAAAATATTTCATAGTGAATCTGAATATTATGTTTCATACGTACACATATCTTTTTCCTTTTCTCTCTCTCTCTCTTTTCATTTTTTTTTTCATTTTAATAAGAATTTCACATGCGTGTAAAGTTTTTTTTTTGCTCGTTAAGAAAAGTTACGTTTAATATTTAATAACAGTAGAATACGAATCATCAGTGTATAAATCAGAAAGAAATTCCAATTATATTGAAGAAGGAAAGAAAAAGCGGAGGGAAAGGAGAAAGAAAGAAAGGAAAAAAGAAAGAAAGAAAAAGAAATAAAGACGTGTATCGTAATTCATTCGAGAATAGAAAGCAAATAATTTATTAGAATATAATTTCCGTCTAATATAATGAATAATATCTCATTGAATAATATCTATTTATCGCTTTTCTCCGATCTCGTTTCTCTTGATAAGAATTTCTAATACGAAAAATAATCCCTCGTTTATTTCGTAGAAATACACATATATGTATATGTAATATGAATCATTCACGTATTTCTAACAAATGCGAATGGAATGATCATTATCGCCTGATCGAACATTTTCTTTTCTTTTCTTTTCTTTTCTTTTCTTTCTCTCTCTCTCTCTCTCTCTTTTTATTTTTTTTTTTCTCTTTCTGCAAATTTTCTTGTTCATTCGATCTCACACGAGTCATGATGCATGATAATACGTTGCTGCTCAACTAACTGACTGAATGACTGACTGACTGACTGACTGACTGGCAAGTCGAAGAGCGATTAAAAACGGATAAAGTTCTTTGTGCAAGGAGAAGATATTTATACACGTAGATATATATCTTTACATATATACGTATGTATGTACATAGAGTACAGAGAATAAATGAGAGAGAGAGAGAGAGAGAGAGAGAGAGAGAACTGTTTTCTTCGATGACGATACGGATATCCTCATTCCATTCAAAATGAACGAATATATATCAATACGATCGATCGTATTTCCTTTTCATTTTAACGAACTCATACATGTATGATAGATATTTTCAAATATCGCTAAGTCACCTTTTATCCATGAATGAACCCATTCGTACAATTATTTATACGCATTAATATCAACAATTGAATTTACCATTACAAAACTCATGTATTACAACGTAATAAAGATAACGATCTATGATATATAAATTGATGTAATTTTATTAATCTAAACAATGTTGAAATTGATCGTATTCATCGATCATCGGATTAATAATCATCTGTTAAAGTACCTTCATCGGATACGTGTAACATCATATTTATTATACACCTCTAGTTTAAATTACTAGGTATAATACACAAAGAGAAGAATAAATCATTCTCACTTAGGACAGGTGAATCATACGGTATTTATCTTCCCTCTCTCTCTTTCTTTCTTTCTTACTATAAAAGTGATCGTGACTGGCGTAAATTATCAATCGAATACATATACGTATAGGTATATTTATATTTCTTTCTTTCTTTTTTTTTTTTTTTTTTTTTTTTTAAACAAAGATACTAAGTGATATTAAAAAAAGAAATAAAAAATATTTTCATTTTTCACAATTCTCGCTTGTCCATTTAATTGATAATACGAAATTGAAATATCTTTAATTATAATTAAATATTTTTATTTATTCTTCCAATAAACAAAGGCATATATATATATATATTTTTTTTTTAAAGTCCAATAAACTTCAGATAATGCTCGTTTTTAATAATAATAATAATAATAATAATAATAATAATAATAATAATAATAATAATAATAATAATAATAACAAAAAAAATATATATATATCCGAACTCAGTTGTTGACAAAGGAACGGTTCAAACGTAATAATGGTTCTGCGATGCCTGATTTCGACTTAATCAAATTTTATGAAGCACTCGTAATCGAAGAGCATGTGACATGTGTCGTCCCCCATCTGCTGCGGAATACGTAATAAAAGAGTTTGATTCAAGAATCTATTTATAAATACTTGATAAATATTAAGTTTTAATTTGTCTTCCATATATTTTATAAAATTTTTTAATGTAGTCATTGTTGTTTTGAAATTTCATCTTTTAACAATCGATGATCTATTAAAAATAATTAAAGTTTGAGTATAATAATTTTTCTAAATTAACGTTATTAAATCTATTCTTTCCGTCAGAAAAATATAGTATCTTAATTATTTGTGTAGGAATTTTAATTGGTTTAAATTTTGTTAATTAATAAGTTGAACAATCTTTTTTATCATCTTAATTATATAATTTGATATAGTCTTTAACGTAGTTGTTAAAAGATAAGATATATTATTTTTTTTTTTTGTAACGACTATTGTATAGTTTTATTTATTGTAATTTATATTGATATTTGTAAAGTAATTATATTTTATGATAATTAAATAAGTCCATTATTTATCATAGTATTGATGATCTCAGAAATGTGTTTGTAGGATTTTCTATTTCACAGCTTCCTGTTACAAATTAAGATGTTATTTAACGATTTAAATGATATATTTATTATTTGCAGCGTTAAAGTATTGATCACCATTATTTTTGAAAGTAGCACAGAATTGGAACTTGTTAAGTATGCTAATTAATCTCTTATCATATAATGTGAATTATTTTTAGTTTTATGAGATCTAATGTCTGTCATCATTATATATAACTTTAATTGTTATAAAACTGTTCTCTTTGTATTGGAATTAATCCAAATAGAATTGTTTCTTACTTCTAATGTTTGTGACTGAATATTAATAATTTGATTTTCTAAGTGCATATATTTCCTAAAGTTAAACTATTTGCTAAACTTAAATTCTACAATTTCTTTATTAGGAAAATCTTCCTGAATTTGCCATTTCTAAATAGTTTTGGACTTATGTATCATTGTCACCATCATTTCAAACTTAGGCTGTTAAGAAACTGAAATCTTCATCTGTAAAAGTGTCATACAATGACACTTGTTCTGTTTTACAATTATTATATGATGTAATTTTTATTTATATTGATGATAACACTATTACAATCATGTGATGATATACAACAAATTTCATAATATTTGTCTAAAAAGTTAATTCTAATGAAGTTACTAACTCCATAATGATATGAATTATTTGAGAATAATTATCATCGTTTTATAAAAAGACGACAAAATCATTTTCATCATTGTCTACTTATATGAAAAGATCTCGTATGTACTGATCTAAAAGTTAGGATTGTTCGTGAACACATTTGAATTTGTAAACAATTTAAAAAAAAATAATAATTAACATCGACATATTTCTTGATTATATTATTATTAAAATTAAATCGTCGAATAAATATTTCTTTAATAGAACTCACATTTTAATAATTCTCGTTGCATTTTTCAGGAATCAAAGGATCACGAACAAAAAAAAATCATAATCATTATTTTCAAAATCCGCAGGTCACATAACTTCCGTTGTCATATTTATATCCAGGAGAGAGTAAAATAAAATATACTAAAATAAAATAAAAGAGAAGAAAAGTAAAAAGAAAGAAGTAAAAAAAGAAAAAGATGAGAACGGAGATTGGATGGTAATGATGAGGATGGGAGTGAGAGGTGGTTGGAAAGGGAGTAGGTTTGAAATCGAAAAGTTCCTTTTCAGAGAGAGAGAGAAAGAGAGAGAGAGATAGGATTTCTTGCACTTTTTCTTTTTTCTTTATCGACATTAAAAGTTGTCTCTTTTCGCAAAAAAAAAAGTGATTGAAAATATTGACAGATGTTTCGGAGGATCGTAAAATCTTCTGTTATTCCGTTGGATAAGAGGTTAGCGTTCGTATGACTTGCGTTGAGAGAAAGAGAAATGAGTTTTTGGTGGGAGAGAGAAAGACAAGCGCTCTCGAAGTGTACGACAGGAGGAGAACGAGGAGAAAGAGGGGTGAAGAAGAGGAAGAAATAGAAGAGGTGGGGTGAAGTGGGGTGAGGTTGGTGGGATAGGCCAGCTGACTGTCAGAAGGGGGAACGACGCAGAGCCCGATACTGTTTCAGGCAGTTTGTCTTTGACGGTTGAACGTTGTGCTATTGAGAGTTACGACGATTTGTCGTTCGAGGTTAGATTTTGAAAAAGCGCGCCAAAATTTTTCTTTTCTTTTTCTCCTTTCTCTTTTTTCTCTCTCTCTTTCTCTCTCTCTCTCTCTCTCTCTCTCTCATTCATTTTCTCTTTTTTATTCTTCGAATTTAAATTATCGATCAATCAATATTAAGTCAAAGTGTATTCTCGAGTATAATCAATTTTAGGTTATATATATATATATAAAATTTTTTTTCCTTTACTTTTTCACATTGAATCTCGATGAAACGAAATTCGAAGTATTAAAAGTTTATTGTACGGTCATATGTATTTATATATATATATATACACATATAAATATACGCGCGCGCGCGCTCACATATACATACACACATATACGGGATCGTTTTTCTGAGGAATCATTGCAAGATAAAGTTTGTCGGTGTTAGTTTCTTTTTTTTTCATTTTTCTGTTCTTTTCTTTTTTTTTTTTGAGTTTGATTTACACCGTTATATAGGATCTTGATTTTTCTCTTCTAGTTCAAAGGATTTCTTATACTTTCTCACCATTTCTCTCTCTCTTTCTCTCTTTCTCTCTCTTTCTCTCTCTCTCTCTCTCTCTCTCTCTCTCTCTCTTTTTCTCTCTTTTGAAAAGTGATTTCAAACGATTCATCGCGAAAAGATTTGTCAAAAGGATTTAGAAAGTTTCTTCGAACTCGACGTCTCTTCAGCTGTTCGTGAATCATGCCACGGGACTTCTTGATTCGTTGGGAGGTAAATAAACACGTATCCTGTATGTACGTATATAGTATTGGAATCTCTCCTTGGGTGTATTTTCCTTTGAATATTTTAATTATCGATCTCCGAGAATATCAGAGTATACGATCTCGTAATCTGGCATGTTATTATGTAAAAGAAATTTTTATAATTACGTTTATTTCCTATATTTATTTATTTTATCTCTTTTTTCTTTTTCTTTTCCTTTTTTTTTTTTTTTTTTTGCTTCTTTCCTTTTCTTTTTCCTTCAACAACATATCAACAGTTCGTTTCGTTCGTACGTGTTGCGTGTTATTTTCGAAATAAACAGAATTAGATAAATTTAAATTGAAACAAAAAAAGAAATGAATAAATAAATAAATAAATAAATAAATAAAAGAAAAAGAAATATCCTTCCGCAGGAATAATTTTGTATGATCTATTTTTAAACAGGGATCGTCCTAAAATCGATGTCGACGCCATTGCATATCCTGTATTTTACGATGGTCAGTCAAGATATCGTTTCGTAAATATTTATCACACTATTATATTATCGTCGCGAGATAGTAATTGTAATAATATCAGAAAGAATTATCGTTATTATACAACGACTGCCTATTATAAAAAGTAACGGACAATCATTGTGAGAGAAAAATAAAAAAAAAAAGGAATTATTTCATAGTGCAAATTTTTTTTTTATTTTTTCTCTTTCTTTCTTTCTCTCTCTCTCTCTCTCTCTCTCTCTGTCTCTCTCTCTCTCTTTCTAGAACAGAGAGAACGAGTTGATAATGATTTTCTAAAGAAATGGAAAGAATAGCTTCTTTAATTAATTTTTTTCTTTGGTTGAAAAAAAAAAGAGAAAAAAATGAAAAAAAAAAAGAAGAAAAAAAGAATGAGTGAGGAGTTCTTACTTGATGATAAGAATCACTCGTTTAAAATACTTTTCACGTATTTCAAACGCGTGCGTGCGAGAGAGACAGAGAGAGAAAGAGAGAGAGAGAGAGAGAGAAAGAGAGAGAGAGAGAGATTGTTATCACGATCTCCGCGAAGTAATCGGGCGTTTTCTTGGAAAAAAAAAAGGAAAAAAAATATTAAAGAGATAGAGAGAGAGAGAGAGATTACATGGTAAAAGATCGCATTAGCGTGCTAGTTCCGCAAGGTGAGCGTCCCCCTGCGGAAATAAAGAATCGTTCTTTCGTTTCGTTTCGTATAAAAGAATACGCGGAATCTATTCGTGTCGTTGCACTTGCTTTTATTATACTGATATAAATCATCAAATCAATTTGCATTAGAATTTCTCTTGGATATTATTATCTTGGTTTCGTTAAAAAAAGAAAGAGAGAGAGAGAGAGAGAGAGAGATACTTACATACGTTTACTTGATTCTTTTGACATTTTTTTTTATGCGCAAAAATAAACTATCTCCCTTATCTCGATCTCCACGCTCGCTCCAAAGTATACTTACGAACGAATAAGAAAAAAAAAAAAAAAAAAAAAGAAAAAAAGAAAATAAGAAAAAAAGTTAAACTAAAAGGATAAGAAATGAGAGAACATTATTTGACGTAGAAAATTTTATTTCAATTTTCTTTTTCTTTTCTTTATTCTTTTTTTTTTTTTTTTTTCGTTATTTAAATCATTAAACTATTTCCACGTCGATACTTTGCATTTCAATTTTATTCTCGAATTCACTTTTTTTTTCTTTTTTTTTTTTTAATTCAATGTAAATATTCATTTATTATTATTCGAAATTTCTAAAAATTCGAACGAAACTTTTCATTTGTATTCGATCATATATATTCCTTCGAATGGATTTGAATTATTAAAGGAACAAAAAAATCTATAAATTTTATTCTATCTTTCTCTCTCTCTCTCTCTCTCTCTCTCTCTCTCTTTCTCTTATCATATCACTCATCTCTAATCTATCGCCATGATTTAAACGTACGAATTTATTATTTGACGTACGAGAGTACCGTTCGATCCACTTTAAACGTTCGCATTATACTCATAGGTACTCATAGTACTTATACGAATAATCGATTCGAAAGAAGACGAGAGATTGTACGACAGATGTTGACAATCACTATCAGACTTGACAGATTCTTTTTTATATTTTTTATTATTCTCTCTCTCTCTCTCTCCTTTTCTTTCTCTCTCTCTCTCTTTCTCTCTCTCTCTCTCTCTCTCTCTTTCTCTCTCTCTTTTTTTTTCTTTTCATTTCTTTTTTTTTCCTTCTTTATATTCCTATCTCTATCAGCATAGGAAACTGTGAAATTCGACGAGCAAATCGAAAAATTTTCCTCCACCGGTTGCTCTCAATTTTAAATTCCTTTTTGAAAGCGTTTTATATTCGGTACGTTAGTAGAATTTAAATCTTGTGTCAATTTTCCTGTTAACCGATTAACTTCGTGTCCTGGAAGCGTAAGTAACCGCGGAAAATATGACCGCGATGATAACAATCGTATATCCTTTTCTTTTTTCTTTTTCTTTTTTTCTTTCTTTCTTTCTTTCTTCCTTTCTTTCTTTTTTCCTATCTATCTATTTCTAGTTTTCATGATTTCTTTCTAATCGTGAAATTCTATTAGAATTCCTGTTTATACGATTTCTTTTTTTCTTTTTTTTTATTCTGTTTACCATTTAATCGAATTATTTTGAATTTATGTGCATTGATAACGATTAATTACATAATAAAGATAAGACGTATTGAAAAGTATTCGGATACATCAAGATACGTTTCTAAACGTTATCTAATAATGACAGATTGTGAAAAGAGACGTTTCGTAAAATTATTATTTTTCTCTTTTTTTTTTTTTTTTTTTTTTTTTTTTCTTTCTTTTTACTTACTATTTGTAATAGTATTTTTTCTTTTATGATCACTTTAACGATCATATTTCCTATTTCATTTCTTTCTTTCTGTTTATTCCATCTCTATTCATCACACTTTTCTAATTGTAACACTTAATTAGATTTCTAATCGTAGTATTATTTCTAATCAAATTATTTCGAATTATTTCTATTATTTATCTGAATTATTTATATATATAATAATAACTACGTACAATAAGACGAACAAAAAAGTAATAAGATATAACATCAAGATTTATTTTAAAACATTTTCTACAAAAAGAACGAAAGAATTAATTTCGTATACGTTCAATGTAATTATAAAATTATCTTGGAAGTAATATTTAATGTGTTAAATATCTTCTAAAGAAGTGAAGAAAAAAAAACATTCTATTAAAAGTTCGACAGTTTTATTTGGAGTCGAAATAGCCGGAAGTTTACTCGATTAATCGATAGTTCGATATCCGCTCTCTAAGGAAAAAGAAAATCTTTTCTGGCTTTTCTACGAGTCACGTGTAAGATAACTTTGGTACAGGAAAGTATTTATTGTAAGGGGTATTAGATGCTCAAGTTAAAAGAGGAGTGTTTCATTTTTTATGGAGGATACATTTTTAAAAAATCATACTCCTTATCAAACAATAATATATATATATAAAATATAAGCAATCTTTTATTTTCTTTTCATTCATTTCTACTTTCTTTTTTATTCTTTTATTAGACATTTTTATTTTCTTATCATTCATTTTTATTTCTTTTTTTTTTCATATATATATATATATATATATATATATATATATATATTCATATTCATATATATGTAAGTAGCCTGACATTTTTATTTCCAATGAAATAAAAAAAAAAGAAAAAGAAAAAAAAAAGAGAAAAAAAATATCTCTCATAATGATATACATATATCGTTAAGAGCAACTTGTAAATGTGATCTGAATATAGAAATCTCTTTCATAGATATTCGTATATATTATTCAATGTTTTATAATTATTAAAGCAAAATTATCTTGTAATAAGGGTACGCTTCGTCTCTCTATTCGTGGGTTATGTTAGCGATTAACAAGTAGGTCATTCTATGTTCGAGCCGTACCAACCGAATTCCATCGAATTTGGAATTCGATTGCGTGAGTTCCATGCAATGCGATAGTAAAGATATTCTATGGAAGAGGAACGTTCTCATAGAATCACGCGAGAGGGGGAAGAAGAGAGTTTGCTCTCTCTCTCTCTCTCTCTCTTTTCCTCTCTCTTATCCGTTATGTTACATAAATATAAATATGTATACATATACATATACAAATATTTCTATGTGGAAATAAATTAATAACCGTAAACTTTACCTTTTGAGATTTTTAATGCGATCTATAAAATATATATATATATATATATATATATATATATGTATGTACATACATTTTTCTTTTTATTTATTTATTTATTTTTTTTTTTTCATTTTCTTTTCTTTTTGGTTCCTTCGATTGCTTGACGCCAAAGAAAATTGTTATTGCTATAAACATTGTTGTTGTTATCGAGGAAGTAATCGAAAGAACAAAAAAAAAAGAAAAAAAAAAGAAAAAAAGAAAAGAAAAGAAAGACTTCCTTTTTCTATTTTCATTTTTGTTCATCGTTTTCTTTTCTCTTCCTTCTTTCTCTTTTTTTTTTTTCTCGTTCATTCGTTCGCTCTTTCATCCTTTCTTTCTTTCCTTCTTTCCTTCTTTCCTTCTTTCCTTCTTTCTTACTTTCAAAGTTTATCCGTAGTAAAGTATAAAAATAATTTTCTTTAGGGAATTCTCTAACGATAATGCTTCCACGAAGTTTTCCCGTAGCAAAGAAAGCCACAAGAGTGAGAGAAAGAGAGAGAGAGAGAGAGAGAGAGAGAGAAAGTATCCATTATATGTATTATACATATATATATATATATATATATATATATATATATATGTATGTATGTATATAGATATTTTAGAAAGGTTTTAGGATGGTCCAAAGTTCTTCTTGGTTCACCATTCACCATCTCCTTACTCTTCACCCCCATCCTCCCTATCTCACCATTGAAAAAATTTATATACGTACGTTTAAACGCGCAAGAGAAAATACGTCAACACTTATACTTTCAGGTTTTACTACGTGCAATGGCGGATTTACGTATGATTATAGGACCTTTTAAGATAA